GACTAAATCTGACTACTTCGGACTTTTTCTGACTATTTCTGGGAGATAAGGAACGCTCCTATAAACTTTATCCTGTGGAGAGGGGCAGTAAGCTAACGGTCAAATTCTAATAGCGTTTACATGTAAGTTTGTCTTTATGCATGATTCAATAATACAAGGTTCGATAAACTGACAGTTGTCTCTCTCGCACCGCTCCCTTAGCTTCTTGTGCTTCTTTGCACATTTACATGGAAACAGTGTAGCTTTGGTGTGAAATAGAAATACGAGCGTTTGTGCAATATGTTTATTTGTATATGCATATGAAGCATATTTAACTGATGAAAACATAAACTGTTTTTAAATTGGATGTTTACATCAATCTCATAGTAGTCTTATTTTAATTTTGAGTCATTTTGCAGTTTTTATACAGCTAAATAGCACATAAATTACGTAATTCACATCAATATTACGTTCAACATCTCGTTTAAAATGCCAGATTTCCTGCAAATACATTCGAATTTACAAAATGAATTTCACTACTAATTGCCTACTTTGCGTACTTTTCTACTTCCATTTTCGAACCAAGTGATTTCATTCCTCCCCTTTTCTCCGTCCTTCGTAAATGCAACCTTTTGTAAGGGAGTGTCAAACCGCAGCTTCCAATAATTATCTAACCTTGTATTATTGCATCATGGCCTTTATGCATATGAATATAAGCTGTCGTTGAGATTATCTCTTGGGTATTCTTTCGCCACGCTTCGCCGTGTATACACGTATACGAAAATTAATAAATTTAAATAAGTCATCTGCAAGAAGCTTTGTTTAAAAAAAATCCGTGTACCTATACGGCATATGGGGTATGGAGATATCCCTTTTCCCTAGCAGTAAATCATGATACAAATATTTAAAGGTAAAACCGCTCGCTCAATTCGTCCGCCATTGGGTTTTTTTGACGTTTGCTAGCATTTTGAGTTTACTCTCTCGAAATAGTTCAAATGTCAAATAAATTCAAAATAAACAAATGAAAGTTTATAATTTGAAAATTTATTTATTCAAATGCGGGAAGAACTTAAAGTTTTATAGAAGGAAAATGAGAGCTGCTTTAGCGGCTGCGCTAATACCGTTTTTACCTGCGAGCAAAGCAGTATAAAGTTCTTTCAAGTTCCCGCAATTACCGTGTGTACGCAAAACTTGATCGAGGTTGGTGGTGTTAAGGCAGCGGATTTTCACAAGTGCCTATGTGCGCTAGGCTCATTTTTTGCGACACCACTTGACCCAAGATAGTTCTTAGCAAAAGTGCAGTGACTTCAAGGTTAAATTTGTTTAAATGTATGCCAAAATCTTCGTCTTAGCATGTGAGCAGAAATTCATTACACAATTGCTAACATTAGTTGCGATCCCGTACGAGTCCGGACTAGTCAGAAATAGTCAGAATCAGTCAGATTTTACTGGAAATCGATCCCGTACTCGGTTCTCTGACTATTTAGAGGACAAAAAAGAGAGTTAATACGGTTCTCTCTCTGTCAGAAGTTACCAGTTTTAGTCCGAGAATTTTTTGCTGGTAAATTCTGGTAAATGTGTCAAACGATCAGCTGTAGTGTGTTTGGCAACCAAATTTTAAACAAAAGAAAAGTGCACTCTGCTAATTCATGTTGAAAAGTATTTAATTACTTGTTTAAGTGGATTCTAATGAATTTGAAAGTTTTTTTGGTTATTTACATGTGTGAGCTGAGTGCGTTTACATACAAAATAAGCAAAAATTTACAACCAAAATTTGGAGGTTCTGTTGAAGTTGACAGAAGTTACCATTTTTTACTAGAAAGCGATCCCGTACTTTTCAATGTTACTCCCTCGCTCTGAATGAATTTTTATTTTTTGACAGTTTTACTAGTCCGATTCCGAGGAATACGGGATTGCACCTATTTATTTATTTACATACATATGTACATACATACATATGTACATATCTATGACTGAATTCAAATATTAATGTTTCGACAGAAACATATTTCTTTGGTTTGAGTGAAAATAAAAACCAACAAATGAAATGACGTCGAGAGAAATTTTCAAAAATGCGAGCACACGTCATAATTCCCAAAGCTGGCTCTCAGCGATTGTACCTTATAAATATTTTTATCATGCAGTAAACCTTTTAGTGTTGGCAACAATGTTGTTTTTTCAAATACTGCAAGATCGGTTAATGTGCACTCTGGGAAGACAATAGCTTTGTTTCTTTACACATAATTATCACAAATTTTCAATTATTTCTGCTGGAAAGCGTTTCTTAAAACAAAAAATTATCAGAAACTAGCAGTTCTCTCCCGTTCTTACGCTCTTCTTTTTTGGGTCTCCTGCTAATTTCTGCTAGTAAACTTTTTACTAGCAGAAACCAGCAGCTGTCAAAATGGATAAACAAAAATTCGCGCCAAATATTTTTAATAGTAAAATACACCGATCAGATGATTACTTGAATACCCCTAAAGCAGTGTTTGCATTATTCAACTTTGCGTTCAACAATTGCGTTCAACTCAACGCAGGGTTGCACGAAAAAAAAGTTGAATGGCTAAATGTTGGCTGGCGACCAACTTTGTTGAAAGCGATTAGTTGAAAGGCCATTCAACCAAAAGTTGAATGCAAAGTTGAACAATGCAAACACCTCTTTATGGCGAATATTTTGATATTTTTTCATATTTTGATATTTTTAGCCATTCAACTTTTTTTTCGTGCAACCCTGCGCTGAGTTGAACGCAAATGTTGAACGCAAAGTTGAACAATGCAAACACACTTTAATGAGAATTAATAAGGAAAATGTGAAAAAATTTTTATTTTTGTGGAAGTATTATGGATTTAAGTGCATTTAAAGTTTATGAGGCGTCGTTTACTTCTAGACCAGAATTGCCAAAATCCATGAACCAAAAATTCAAAATCACGCCAGCAAACCAGTAGCCCGTTATAATCGCATTTAGGAAAAAAGTTGGGCGATTTTGACATTAGCCGTTTGTTTACATTTGTTCGTTTGGTGGTGGATTTTTACTGGAATTTTCTTCATATTCGCTTGTGACAACGTGTGTACACATAAGGTAAAGAATAGGTGCAGTCCCGTATTCCTCGGACTAAAACTAGTAAAACTGTCAAAAAATAAAAATTCGCTCAGAGCGAGAGAGTAACATCGAAAAGTACGGGATCGCTTTCTAGTAAAAAATGGTAACTCCAGTAAACTTCAACATAACCTCCAAATTTTGGTTGTATTGTTTTGCTTATTTTGTATGTAAACACACTCAGCTCACACATGTAAATAACCAATAATACTTTCAAATTCATTAGATTCCACTTAAACAAGTAATTAAATACTTTTCAACATGAATTAGCAGAGTGCACTTTTCTTTTGTTTACAATTTGGTTGCCAAACACACTACAGCTGATCGTTTGACACATTTACCAGAATTTACCAGCAAAAAATTCTCGGACTAAAACTTCTGACAGAGAGAGAACCGTATTTACTCTCTTTTTTGTCCTCTCAATAGTCAGAGAACCGAGTACGGGATCGATTTCCAGTAAAATCTGACTGATTCTGACTATTTCTGACTAGTCCGTCTAATCTTCGTGCTCTTCGTTGTTTACTTCTTATAACAAAGATGGCGTCGAGATTTCGACAGCTAGAAAACTAATTTTTTCTTTCTTTCATTCATTATTAGTTTGTTCCAGTACTCTTCTGTCTAGAACCTGTGGAAATGACAAACTACGATTTTACTCTCTCAAGTTAGAGTAACAGGGGAAGAGATGCAAAAAGCACTTTTCCAGCAAAAACGTCATTTGGTTTGTTTACTTGTCGTTATTACAAGACTGATTTGTCTGAAAGATCACTAAATAACTATTTAAATCTATACAATTAATAATAATTGCATATATATTCGAATATTTCATTATTTACTTCCATTTTTTAAGAAATGTAAGGTTATTTGCTTTCATCGCGTTCTGTTTTTGTACACAAATGCAACTCTACCCATCGTTTGACACTTTTCATGAATTTGCCAGAAGAAAAACTCCGGACTAAATCTTGAAACTTCATTCTGGGAACAGTTGCTCAGTTACTCTCACGAGACAGTTCCCAGATACAGAATTTTCGGCGTACGGGAACGACTTTGGACTAAATCCTTAGTCTGTTCCTTTGAACTTCGGACTAAAACCCATGGAACTGTCAAACTACAATTATACTCTCTCAAGTGAGAGTAAAAGGAGAACAGATGCAGAGGTGCACGGGAACGCAAAAAGCACTATTTCCTGTAAAAACGTCAGTCGGTTTGTTTATATGTCATTGGTACAACACTGATTTGGCTGAAATATCACTAAATAATTAATAAAATCTATACATATCCGAATATTTCGTTGTTTACTTCCATTTTTTAACAAATATAAGGTTATTTGCTTTCACCGCTTTCTGTTTTTGTTTGCACATGTAAATCAGCTCATCGTTTGACACTTTTCATGAACTTACAGGAAAAAAACTCCGGACTAAATCCTGTAACTTCTGACTAGGAACAGTTGTTCAGTTACTCTCTCAAATGTGTAACCACTTACAGGTTGTATGTCAATTAGTCTGTTCCTTTGAACTTCGTACTCAAACCTGTGGAACTGTCAAGCTACAATTTTACTCTCTCAAATGAGAGTAAAAGGAGAACAGACGCAGAAGTGCATAGGAACGCAAAAAGCATTATTTCCTGTAAAACCAGTCAGTCGGTTTGTTTACATGTCATTTGTACAACACTGATGTAGCTGAAATATCACTAAATAATTATTAAAATCTATACATATTCAAATATTTCGTTGTTTACTTCCATTTTTTTACAAATATAAGGTACTTTGCTTTCACCGCTGTTAGTTTTGGCGGTGGTGGTAAATAAACTCTGCCTCGACTATTTATACCATTAGTTATGACAAATTCATTGTGTATGCATATACAACAGCTGCTTTTAAACTATAGAATTATAGCACTATGAAATACACCTCTGCGAGTAGTCCGCCATGACACAAAGCAAGCAGTTTTGGAGGCATTGGTGAAAACCAAAAGCGATTGCAAATTGGAGAAGGGATAAGAATTTTCCAAATATTATTTTCGTAACAAAAAATGAGTAAAATATTGATAAATAATGCAAATTACTGTAGTGAACTTCTTATAAACGAATGCAAGTGGGCATAAGGAAAACCATGGAGTGAAAGCATTATAAAAATGGAGTTGAATTCACTAGTTACGACGTCGATGAAAATTTTGCAAATAAAAAAAATTTGGAAGCTGTGGTGGTGTGTGTAAATTGGAGTAATTTATCCGATTTGTACACATTAATTAGAACTGATATATAATTTAACGGAGGTGCTATTTAAGAAAAGCGAAGGACGATATATACATATATATTTTTATAATTTTTCAACCGGCTGGATTCCTCGCTGATATTTATCAAGTGAATTAAGTGTGAATTGGAAGGTAAAGGATAGGCGAAGACTCGAAAGGGGTGGATGAAAGATGGTCGTCTCCAAAGACTCCAAGCGGAAACGCAAAGAGTCACCGCCACCTCAACCGACGGCAGTAGAGTCGTCACCAGAAATGCCTAAACGGTAAGAAATATATATATATATTTGTACACATACATATGTAAAAGAAGTTGAATGGTAATGCGTAATTACATATTTACAAATTATTAAGAAAAAAGTAAACTGTGGGGTGGGTGTATAACTATGTATTTATGTACGCACAAACATATCTATATATTTCGGATACATATAGTAAAAGACAACGGCCATTCATATATAAGCATATGCATTTACGTTGGTATATACATACATACATATATACGTGTGTATGTACCTGCCAATGCAATGTTTTATATGCATGGTATATTTGGTATTTTATGTCAAATTGTACACTTTTAGGTCCTTTTTGGACTTAAAGGGACTTTGGTCCCAACTTTGGTATCTTGGGTACAGTTTTAATCGGTTGCCATCTACTTACATACGTGCAGAAATATATCTTAACTATTTAGCGATTATAAAAATTTAACACAAGTTTAATTGGATTGACTTTGGATGCGGTACCTCCGATTCGGGAAATAACGTTCCCACGACAGTCGGGTCTACGTAACCGAAACGACCCAGATTTATATCTGGCCAAGGACTGTCATTACAGCAACACTCCCCAAAAAGTTTTTGGGGAATTTGTATGCTGCTACAACAACAACAACATTCGGGAAATAAAACGTGCTATTTGTAAGCTGTAGCTCTCCACTTTCCAAATATAGTCCTTATCATAAGAGATTAGTTCTGTTCGCTATGCAAATGCCAGTAAGAATTAGCTAGTAACAAAATTCAGAGATTAAGATATCTGACTCTCCCACAGGGAAAAACGGGAAAATTTTGAAATACGGAACCCGGCTTTTAAAAAAAACAAAAATGAGGGGGTTTAGAGCGGCTTTTTGTGAATGTAAATTAAAAATTTTCATTATTTATCGAAGTATTGATTCTTATGGAAAAAGCGCCGCAGGCGAAAATTTTTAATAAAAACTCGCGCGATTTTTTATTAAAAATTTTCATTATTTATCGAAGTATTAATTTTTATGGAAAAAGCGACGCAGCCAAAAATTTTTTATAAAAAAATGCGATTTTTTATTAAAAATTTTCATTATCACATTATCGATGTACTTTTTTCGCGGGATTTTTTTTTTTTTAAATTTTCATAATTTATTGAAGTATTTATTTTTATGGAAAAAGCGGCGCAGGCAAAAATTTTTTATAAAAAATCGCGATTTGGTAGCATACATTTTGTGTTACTGTCAACCATTGTTATTTCTGCTTGTTTGTGAAATGTGCAAACGTTTGTGAAGACATTTATAAACGCGTTTTACTTAATTAATTAATTAAGAATTGTATATTAAAGTATTACAAACGCATGCGAACCTTTTAAGGATAATATATTTGTGTAAATAAAAGTGATAGGTGTGGGGTTATATTAAAATGTAGTGATAGCAGGCGGGATATTTTAACAACAAATAACTTAAGTACTATTAGAAACAACATTAGTGAAAGTGAGAAATATAGTTGAAGGAGACCTCCATTAGTATCCCCACCGAGGTTCATAAAAAAATTCAGAGTATTTTGGACGGAATAGCAATTGGTTCCGTAATGGAAATCTCAGCCAAAATGATAAAGAAACGATAAATTTATTCATAATAGGAGTGTTCGCTATGCACAAAGTTTGTACAAGTTGGTACCAATTGTTACCAAATCGTATTCGTTTAGCCAAAAACCCAGTAAAACTTGCAAGGAGAGAGCACAATTTTGAGATTTCATTTGGAGGGGAAGTTGCAAATTCGTGCTGGAAAAATTTTTGCCAGTAAGAATTTGCAAGTAGGATTGTGGCACAGGGTTGCATTTTTATCAACATTAATTTGAATCAACAAGTTCGTCAAATTTAAAAATGAACAATCTTGTTGCGATTTACTAATGAAAGAAGTAGGTAAATATTCGTTTATTCAATTAATTTAATTAATTCCAAACATTTGAAAGGTACTAGGCTGAAAAAGCTGTATTCGTAATCGGAGCGCACTCGACCACAGTCGATATAGGAAATCCGACAGTGACTCCCAAAAAGAAATTGAAGCGTATGTTGAAGACAGTCAGAATAAGAAGAAATATACGTATAGGTCCTGTTTTGGTTTCTATCTGAAATAATAAAAAAAAATTTGTAGGGTTCTTATCATTTAATATTTTATCCAATGTACTTGACTTTATAATACTTTAAATTTTTAGATTTAAGATTGTTGTGAAATATGATAATTTTCTTTTTTCAATTTTGAAGTTGAATGTTAAAAATTGTTCATTAACATTTTGCTTGTTGAAGAATTAACTGGTTTATTGGGAATATTAAAGAAATAATTAAAACAAATCCCAGAAGAGAATTTTATTTGAAATAAGGACAACTATATTGGCGACCCTGCCAGGAGCAGACAAATGCAAATTGAAATCCTTAGTGTATTTATGAATATTACTTCAAGCTCTGCGGTTAATAACGAAATGGAGTTGGTTCTTCATGTAACGCAAATTAAGTACCAATGGTCCTCGAGGTTCGTCCAGCAACACTGATCTTATTTCATTGATTAGCAGAAACATTAGTAGAATTTTTGGCAGTGGTCAGTATTCTTTTAGAAGCTCTGAAACACCAGTTTTTGTTGGTTCTGCGATTTTAAAAAACGTCCACGCATCAATTAGTGCAACAATAATTATATCTGCGAATTAGACGTCGACTTTGTCGCTTCTTTTATGAATATTGCAGCAAGCTGTTATACTGTTTATTGATCATCGTTGAAAGTCTTAGCGTAACTATTAGTGGTAGTACAACTGATATTGAAATTTACATCATTAACATCAGCTTCGTCAATTAATTAATATTAATCGATAATTAATCAATCATCAACAATAATATTGCAAGTATTGAGGAAGGAACTATGGAATTATAATCAACTATCAAAACCATATAAGTTTCTATTGTTTTTGGGATTACTAGCATGCTTGAAGGATTTTTTTGCTGATTGGTGAGCTGTATCATTTATATTTTAAGATTTATCAATTTGTATTGTTACATATTTTATTTTTATTTTTTTTTTTTTTAAATTAAATGAAATTTGCGAGGTTTTTTGACCAAATTGTAAACTCACCTTTTTAGATTTTTGTAATCATCAGAAAAGAAACAATAGAAATGTTCCGTTCACCGCACCAAGACACACATACAACTACACGAACAAATAGTTTACACGATTCGCTTATTGATTTACAAAATAACATACATCAAGAAGAACTCACAAATCCATACGCAACGTCTGATAATCGGATAGGTAATGAAATTTTTGCCACATCTATCAAACTACCACAGTTTTGGACAAGTTGTCCTGAAGCATGGTTTATTCATGCTGAAATGCAGTTCAACACTAAAAATATTACTCAAGAAACAATTAAGTATGAGTATATTATTACTGCACTTCCTCAGGAAGTAATTATGACAATTTTAGATTTTATTCGAGATCCACCGGAGAATAATAAATTTTCGGCATTGAAGAAAATTTTGATTGAAAGGCATTCATTAAGCGAGAATGCCAAATTAGATAAAGTGTTGAGTGATTCTGAGATAGGTGATCGTAAGCCCTCGGAATTTTTATCGGTCTCTCGTATTACTTTCTGGTTCTAATTTTAGCCAGGAAGTTTTAAAGAAACTTTGGATGCGAAAATTACCAAAAAATTTGAATGTAATTTTAACTAGCTCGAATTCTAGTGATATCAATGAATTGATTAAGTTAGCAGATAATGTTTGGGAAGTTATCAATAAAAATGAAATTGCATTAGTAAATAGTTTTCAAAATTCAATAGGAGAAAATTCAATTATTACTGATTTGATTAAGACAACAACGATGATTTGTGAAAATTTTCAAAAACTATCTTTGGAATTAAACGAAATTAAGAAAGGAATTAATCAAAATTATTCGAGGTCACGTTCAGCAAGTAGGAATCGTTTTAGAAATTCTTTTAGATATCGATCGAAATCTCGTGATAATCCGAATTGGTTATGTAGATATCACTATAAGTTTGGAAATAAAGCTAGAAAATGTGAACAACCATGTGCTTTTTTCAAAAATGAGAGTTCGGCGACAAACAACGGAAATTTAGAGGTATCAACTCGTCGCTTATTTGTATTTGACAAAAAAAACAAATTGAATTTTTTAATTGATAGTGGGGCAGAAATTTCGGTACTTCCGGTTTCAAAATTCTCATGTACAAAAAAATCTACAGATATTATCTTAACTGCAGCTAACGGTTCAGCTATTTTTACATACGGAAAAAAACTTTTGAATGTTAATTTAGGTTTGAGGCGTGAATTCCTTTTTACATTTTTGATTGCTGATATTGCAAAGCCGATTATAGGAGCTGATTTTTTGGGTAAATATGGACTTCTTATTGATATTAAAAACAAGTGTTTAGTAGATCCGTTAACAAATCTATCAGTTAACACAATTTCGTACTTTTGTAATGTCCCTCTTCCGAAAATTTTTTCAGTAGAAGATCAGTATACAAAATTATTGAAGGAATTTCCTTCTCTTATTTCTAAGCCAGATTACTCAAAATCGGTTAAGCATACCACAGTTCATAGACTGGTAACTGAAGGAAACCTTCCTTTTTCTAAGCCAAGGCGCCTAGATCCTATCAAATTTAAAGTAGCTAAAACTGAATTCGATTTTTTAGTAAAGACAGGGATTTGTAGACCATCAAATTCATCCGTAGCATCTCCACTTCATTTAGTACCAAAGAAGGAGAGTAATGACTGGCGTCCTTGTGGTGATTTTAGAAGGCTTAATACTGTTACTGTACCGGACCGTTATCCCTTGCCTCATATTCACGACTTTAATATGAATCTTAGGAATAAAAAGATATTTTCAAAATTGGATTTAGTTAGAGCGTATCATCAAATTCCAATGGCAGAAAAAGATATTTATAAAACGGCGATCACTACCCCTTTCGGCATGTATGAGTTCATTCGAATGCCTTTTGGCCTGAGAAACTCCGCACAAACGTTT